CGTCTCATGTTTTATGATTAGTTACATTTTAATTTACATCTGTGACTAAATAACAACAGATCTCATCTGTCAGCAGAATAAAAATGTTAGTAAATGAAATGTGTAAAAAGAGAAAGTTGTGGAATTGCAGCTTCAACAAACACCAGTTCTTGTTTCTTGATCTTTCAATGAATCTTTCTGTGAGTTAAAAACTCTGAACCAACGAGACAGTTTCATGTAAAAGATACATTTTACTGAAAAAACATCATCTCACCTGTTTTAGGAATAAAAAAAACTACTGGCTACATCTGATCAAAGTTCTTTGTTCTTCTTGTAATTTTTCAGGTCTGTTCAAAGTTTTTATTTTGCTCGTGCATCAACGACCTGAATAAATCAGAGCTGCACCTAAAACAGATGATGGGACAATAATGTCAACAAAAACTGTTGGACACGTTGATCTCTGAGCAGTGGAGACAACACAACAAGAAACTTTCAGCAAGAAACAAAATTATTTTAGTTTACAGATCTCAGCTGTGTCTCCATAATTGAACCAGAGACCTATTCCAGCATGTAGTGGTCGAGTAAAGGAGGTCTGGACTTTGTGGAGGAGAGTCATGGTCTCAGAGACTCTGTAGAAAGACAGAACACCTGCTCTGTGATCCAGGTACACTCCAACTCTGGACCCAGCACAAGCTGAGATGGGAGTTCTGATGCTGTTGTGACAAAACTCATTATTGTTTTTGTAACAAATTAAAGACCAGGATTTATCATTAAATCCAAATACACTCCCTTTTTTATAAACATCCTTGTATGCGACTGCTACTCTACCTCCTGGTCCTTCCCACTTCACCTCCCAGTAACAACGTCCAGTCAGACTCTCCTTACTCAGAATCTGACGATATGAAGTGAATCTCTCTGGATGATCAGGATAAAACTGATCTTGTTTCATGAATGTTACTTTTCTGTTCCCCTCAGATAACAACATGTGTCTGTGAGCTGTGTTTGGATCCAGAGTGATCTCACATGAATATCTGAAG